TGAAGAGGGGTGGGACCGCCATCTTTTTCACGGGAAGCCCCCACACATTCCTGTCTGTCTGTTGTATTTCTTGTGCAGTTTCTCCAGAAAATAATCTGTTGATGCTGTTGGTGGGTGGCTCTGGTTATGACCTGATTTGAAACAGTCTTCCTGTTTGTTTTTGTACCCTGTTCCCACCCCTCCCAGAGTGTCCAGAGCCTCCAGCCTTGGGTCTTCTGTGTCCAGGGAGAGATCAGTCTGCTTCTCAACACCTGACCCCCCCAACCCCTCCCCACACGAGGCTCTTCTTTGTTACTCAGTACCCTCTCTCCATCTGCTTTGGTCTCGGGTCTCTCATAGGTCATTCTGTTTCCAGTTTATACTCCCTGTAGTTTGGGGGTAACTTTTCAAGAGGAAAAGTTGTCAGAAATGTTTTTCCTCTGCCGTTTTTAAACCTAAGGAATCACAAAGGGGACTCCAGAAGTAACAGAAAGGGGATAACTTAGGTACTGTGGGAGCAGAGGAGGGAATCTCAACGTGATTGGAGTGACATGGGTAGGTTTGTTGTGGGGTTAAAAGTTAAAGCTGAATTGGGTTTTAATAGGTAGAGTTGAAGGTAAGTTCATTTGAAGTAGAAGGAACATTGTGACACAGAGGCAGAAAAATGGAAGATGAGTTCAGCGTGTCTGCCTGAGCTGCAGAGGGCAGGCTAGGGCTGGATTATGGAGGGGCTGGGACAAGGTGCCCAGACGGTGGACCCTTCTTCACACAGTGGAGAGCCATCAAAAACGGGAGAGATGCCGTCAGGAGTTGAGCCCATTTGACAAGCTCTGATGTAAAAATTGAGTAAGAAACCAAATTGCATAGTTATAAAGAGCTTTAGCTGTTCATCAGCACTAATTTTAAAAGTCCTGCAATCAACTTAATTACTGAAAATCAGGGTAAAACTGTGTAGAGAACAGCGAAGCGTCAGAGGAACCAGATCTCCATTTTTTGGAGCCCAGATGTGCCGCTTGCCGTCAGATTGCCAGAGTCTCTCAGAGCAACTGAGGCCTGCTTACTATTTTGAAAACCATTTCTGTATTAAAATTTTGTTTTCCATCTTCACTTATCTAATTATAACATTTGGTTGTTTGAAAATTCTATTAAAAAGTCAATTTTAAAATTGATAACAGAGCAAATTGCATCTCAGTTGAAAAGACAAGTTTTTAAAGGTATTCAAGACCCCTGAGAGCTTTTTCCTGCAGCTTAGAACTACATGCCAGTCCTGTTTTTATCCTAATTATGGGTTAATTGGTAACACCCTGTGCCTTCTGTAGTTGTGAAGAATTTTCTATATAGAGTTTTAAGTTGCTCCGCAAACAACCCCAGACACGTGTTGTTAAGAAAGCCAGGTTTTTGAAGGCATCATTCTTGGGAGGGAGGTGCAGCTGAACCACCAGAGCAGTGGGCACGGTTCCTGAGCTGGGGACATTCTGGAACGTTCTTAAGGCGCTGTGAGTGCATCTCGTCCGCTTTAGAGTATGATATTGCATCTTTGGAGGGTGGAGTTGTGACTCCCTCCATGATGTGTGGGCGTGCCAGTGGTTCATGTGGTTGTGAAATTAAAGCAGTAAATCTTCCTCTGTCTGCTTCTGGTGGCGTCAGTACAGGATGCAAGATTAAAGCAGTTATTCTTTTTGGCTCTTAGTGTTGATGCCAGGCTGCATATCTTCACATACAGGCCGTTTAATCACGCAGTACCCTCTGGGGAAAGCATTACCTGCCGGTCTCATTTTATAACCGAGAATGTCGAGGCTGAGAGAGGGCTCAGTAGCAGAACCAACAAAAAGTTGGAGTTTAGTCGGTCTCGAAACTTCACCTGTTGAAAGGAAGAGGAGATGAACTCCAAGTATTTTCCGTCATGTTCGATGGTTTTCTCTTCTCTTGCAGAAGTGATGGCACTTTTCACAGTAAATTCATCCCATTCTTGGCCGTTGGGCTGCTTCGTTGGGAGTTTTCTCACCAGCTCCCTGGTGCTGACCCGCTGGCACACGTGGGCCATCTGAACGCCCCGAGCCGGCCTCACCCCTGCCGCCTCCAGGGTCAGCGTCAGCGTCAGCGTCAGCGTCAGCGCAGGCCGGCCTCCCCTTGTCTTAGGTTTACAGCGGTCTGCGGACTCGGTGAGCAGCTTTGCAGCATTCAGGGCTGTTTGAGAGCTTTTAGGTAGCAGATTGGTGGGAGAGGTTATCGTGGGACGGCAGGGGCTCTTTCTGTTTCTGAAAGAACAGTCATTGTATTTGAGTGTTAGAATTAACCCGTGCTGACGTTCCTGTCACCCTCGGTCTGATTCTTGCTCCTAGAAAGTTAACATGTCTTTTCTTCTCTGGCTGATTTTCTCTTTGATTCCATTTTCAGCGTCTTGTCTATGATGTGCTTAGACGTGGTTTTATTTGTATTCATCCTGCCTGGGTTTTATTTGAGTCTTTTTGGTAGATTACAGTTTTCTGTTGAAGTTTCCCTATTTGAAGATGATTTGGGAAATGCCCTCAGAAAAGCTGCAGGTGCCCCTGGAGCTCAGTTCCTGGGCTGCTTCTCTTTCGGGGGCTACGGCTGTTTGAATCCTTCCTGTGCGCTGCACTCGGTGCTTTCAAGTACTGAGCTGTGTGTTTTGTCCAGCTTGTATAGTTGTTCTCAGCTCTTTCATTGTGGCCAAACTCGGAGCTTTCTGGAATGGCTTTTCAACAGCTGTGATCACTTACAGTTTTATGAATGATCCTGATGAATGATTTTAACACTGGTTTTCTCTCTTAAATCTGTTATTTTGGAGAAAACAATACGCAATTTATGGTTTTAAAAAATGCCCCCACTCCCTTCCTATTCCAGCAAGTTTAGAAAAACAAGTTAAGCAGGTATTTGTTTTAAAATCTGTGTATCTGTGACTTCTCCTCCATAATTTTTTATAGTACTTCTAGGTCCACAGTCAAGGATTCCCGGAGCATCATCCAGGTAGAAAGAGCAGACCATTCACACTGGCACATCGTCCCTGGATGCCGTTTAGTTACACAAACAGCATGAATATTTTTATGATTCTTGACGCAAGCTGTGGTTCAAAAAATATTTTATCGATTTATAGGTGCTGATTAGGGAGTGTTTCTCTCCCGTGTCAGCAGACTGGCTCTAGTCACCTCCTCTTCCCAGTTCTCTACTAATCCATTCAGCCCGTAGATAGGATCCCTGCTATATTCAGGACACAGTGCTGGACTCCGCCGAGTGTAAAAGATAATTGATGAGATCTGCCTTACCCTCCAGCCGTCCCTGTACTCCTTTGTGGGTGAACCAGGCACCTACTTGAGTCATCCTAAATAAAGGCAAAATGTGTCACTGTAAGGGCGTAAACAGGTGCTGATTTCTTATTCCTAGTCTGCTTTGAAGCTCTAGGTTCCTGTAATCCTCTCATTTCTTTTCATTATTCATTAAGTTAACATTTAAGTTCATTAATAGTTTCATTATTTCATTAAGTTAACAAGGAGTTTTAGAATATAGTGGCTGAGAAGATAACCTTTTTCTTTCTTTTTTTTCCTTAAAGATTGGCACCTGAGCTATCAACTGTTGCCAATCTTTTTTTTTCTTGCTTTATCTCCCAAACCGCGCCCCCCCGCCCCGTACATAGTTGTATATCTTAGTTGCAGGTCCTTCTAGTTGTGGGAGGTGGGATGCTGCTTCAACGTGGCCTGATGAGCGGGGCCATGTCCGCACCGAGGATCCGAACCCTGGGCTGCCACAGCGGAGCGCACAAACTTAACCACTCGGCCACGGAGCCGGCCCCATCTTTCTTAGTTAAAAGGAAAACTGTGCCACAGCATTAAAAAAAAAATTTAAAGAAATAACTTTCACTGTCCCGGCTCATTAATATACAGTTTAATTTTTTGCTTATTTGTCTTTGATCTTTTCCATTCAAACACATAGTTTATAATTATAATGTATAATTGTATAATCTGCATTTTTCACTGCCATAAGCCTTTTTTTTCTTTTTTACTTCAACATAGTCTTCATAATTATACTATCTGATAATTGTTTCTCATTGGTATGCCAAGATTTAACAAGTTTTCTTTTGTTGGTGGTGGATATTTTTCCAATTTCAATATTAGAAATGGGGCTACTTTGAATATTAGAAATTGAGCACCGTTGATTCAAGCATCCTGCTCCTGAAATTTTAGTGTAAGTAATTCAACAGGGAAAAAGCTAGTGCACACACGGTATGAATATTTTTGTGGTTGTTGTTACAAGCCTGTGGCTCAAAAAATATCCTAACGATTTATGGTGCCACCAGTCGTTTTACCATAGCACTTGCATTAGGTGCTATAATTTTAAAATATTGGCTTATTTAGCAGCTATACATGATACTTTAAATTTGCTTTAATTTTAAGTTCTTCGGTTGTTAATAAAGTGGAACCATTGTCCCTGTGTTTATTTGCTTTCTGTGTTTAGAGGATCGTTTTCAGCCCTGAGCTTCTGGCTTTTAATAAATCATCACCTCTGATGCCTTCTTTACCAGTCATGGTAGAGGCGTGTTCGTCATGAGGGTTCAGTGAGACACCATATGTAAACGTACTCTGAACAGGGCCTGACCCATAACAGGCCCACAGTGCAGGTCCACAGCCGGAAACCAAACCCAGGCTGCCAAAGTGCAGCACGCTGAACTTAACCACTAGGCCACCGGGGCTGGCCCAATATATATGGTTTTAATTATATAAAGTCTCTGTACAAGAGTCTTTAGATACATTAAGAAAAAAGTTTTTGAAGTTAATTGCATTATTTCAGTTTCAAAAAATAATCTCCAATTCCCATATGCCTTTAAATATAATACAAAAACACTTTTGCTTATGTTAACAAATTAATGTATTTTTAATTTATCAAACTTAGAAAATTTAACATTGAAGATAACTGGTAAGATTTGGTTGAATATTTTAGTTGAAGGAATTTTTCTCCCTGATATAAGGACTTTAAAAGTATGTTCTGTTTCTCTTATTTGCCTTCAGGTTAAAAAGGCCTTCTTTGCCTTAGTAGCCAATGGTGTTCGTGCAGCGCCGCTGTGGGAGAGTAAAAAGCAGAGTTTTGTAGGTAAGCATTGTGGGCCCGGGGAAAAATCTGGAAGGAGAAAGCTTACAAGCAGAAAGCCAAGGTATTTTAATAGGTGCTGGTTTGGAATTCAGCCTAGTAAACATGTTACCAAAATAAAGAACATTCTTTTCATCCTGGCAGAGGTGGGGCCGCTAGTAAATTCAAAACACGTATGAGCCTTTATTGAGTTTCCTTTTTATATTTATTTACTGTTTCTTTCGATTTATCCCCTCTGGCTCTCTGAAGGATCTTCTGTGCCTCTGCCGTTCCTGCGAGCCCAGGACGGTTCTGCTGCGGAGGCTGCGCCAGACAGCGCTCTGTCGGTGCCCTCTGCTCACACGTACATGCCTGTGCTCTGTCCCTGCCTCCTCTCTGCTGAACACCTGTTTGACAGGGCAGATGAGATGATGTCAGTGTGATTGACGGCCTTGCTAAATCCTTGTTACACTATTAAAGATGTCGTGTAACTCACAATACCTAAACTGCATAATTTTTCATCTTGTAACTTCTAGTAGACAATGCATATCGTCTCCCTCAGTATGGCTCACGTTATTTTGAAGTTACCAGTTTACGTTTGCCTCCCCCTCTAGTTTACAACTTCCTCGGGGCGCAGGGTCACATCTTCTTCATCTTTGTAGCCCTGGTGTCTGGTTCATAGTACACACGTAATGAATAGTGACTACTGAAACCGCTGTTTTTAGAATGCTTCTCAGGAAACAATCCAGGTGCCCCAGAAGTATCATATTTCTAAAGCTTATGGAATACTTTATTATTTTAAAGTATTTCAAGTTATTTACATTTAGCTGCAAGTTTTGTGTGATGTTTTATAACAATCAGTAAGTTTTCTCGCATTGAATTGCCAAATACTCTGACTAATTCCATTGTACTTGCTGTCAGGTTCAATTTCAGCTAAATTTGCCTATCTTAGTTTGGTGTAGTTAATTAACAGATTAGTAGTTTTAAATAATATATTAAACTGCTTGATATTTTAAAAGTATATTTTCGAGCTTTTCTAGTGAATATTTCTGGTTTGCTCGTCATTTGAAATTTTTCTTATAAGTTTTCATAGTTGCATATTTAACATATAATTCTTTGTTCCAGGAATGCTAACAATTACAGATTTCATAAATATACTACATAGATACTATAAATCACCCATGGTAAGTGACAGAAACCCTTATGTCAGTAATTGGAGCTGCGCATTTCTATGTATGTGTGTAGGGCTGTGTGTATTTTAAGATTTTTGTGGGTTTTTTCTTTTTTGGTAGGAGGGGTTAGCAGTGCTGGTGGTTGATTTTGCCAAATATCTGTAATGTGCAGAGAACCCCGGTGTAAATTAGTCCTATATTTGAAGCTTGAAGAAGGCAGTCTCGGGAAAAATAAAAGGCAATACCTTACTTACTGAGCTCTCAGAAACCCTCGAGTGTGTGGAATTCTGTGTGCTAATTTATTGCCTAGATGTTCTATAAGCTTCGCTAAATTTGTCATCTGTATGGCACTGTGGGCCTGCTGTGGTGCTGAGACTCTGCCTGGACCCGTGAGCGGAGGAGGCCCCTTGCACCACTCTCGTCCAGGCGCCATCACCAGAGAGGCCTCCCTCTGCAGATGAGGATGCCCTGGGCCTTGTCTTCACTGGCCCGTTGATGTGGGTGCAGCTTCATGCAGTTATTACCCCAATATTTTATAGCAAGGACTGAATGGACTCTGTGGTTTTCAAGAAGTAAAACTTAAAATTGAAGAAATTCAGTTTTGACATTTTTCTGGTGGTTAGGAGAAGACTGCTGCTGGCTAACTGAAGTGGCAGAGCTCCTGGTCCCTGGTCTGTTTTTCAGAGCAGAGTTTGGAAGCTGCACACGGCCTTTCCCATCACTGATTTTTTTTATTCTGCCAGCTTGTTTGGCTTTTATTTTGGCTTTTGTGGTTTTTTGGGTTATTTTGTTTTTGTTCTTTTGGCAAGGGTGGGGAGGGACAGAATTGTATACTCTGTTTCTTTAACTAGTACTATTTGGGGTATCTAAAAGGTAAAAGACAATCCAATTCATAACTGTTTTTACATATAATGGTCAGTATTGCCCAATAATTAAATTCCTACCTAAAATGGAAAAATAAGTTTCTTCATAAGACATATTCTTAGAAGGACATTTTAGCAAAGATTTTGTAAGTATTCCATATTTATTTCACATGATCTATCTGATTTCTTAAATACTACCAATGCAGGTGAATATTGGTTTTCCTTATAATAGTCGCATCTCTGCTTTTGGACCAGCAAAATCAGCCCAAGTATCATTATTAAGTGGATATATTTCGATAAAATGCACTAGCCTCTTATGACAAATCTCAGCAGTAGTTAGTTAAATCAAAATTTAGAAAACAGTTATGTCTAAATATACAGCCCAAAGTGTTTCTTACTACTTGAGGGCACATTTTTTCCTCCACATTTCACCTCATTTTCTAGTTATGAACAGAAAAATGCTGTTGTGAAAGCTATGGCTCATTTTATTTTCTAAGAATTTATCATTAGTATGTAAAAACACAATTGATTTTTATATATTGACCATTTATGCTGTAAAATTCACTTATTCCAGTAGCCTTTTTTGTACGTTTGTTAGGACTTTTTCTCTGTATGTAACGTTGCCTGTGAATAAAGACAGTTATACCCACACCATTTATTGAAAGGACTTTCTTTTTAGTTACAGAATTGTTTCAATACCTTAAGTGTGGGTCTGTGCTGGATCTCTTCTGCTCCACTGTTTTGCTTATCTCTCTCTGTGCCAATACCATGGTCTCTTAATGACTAAAAGAAAAAATACCTGCTGGTATTATTGGGAGTTTGTAGATCAATTTGGGGAGAATTGGCAGAGCCTTGCAATCTGAGAACGTGGTATTTCTTTTTCTTGCTTTATTTCCTTGGCTAGTGTTTAAGTACAGTGTTTAAGTCAGGAGAGCAGACCTCCTTGCCTTGTTTCCCATCTTAGAGGGAAAGCATTCAGTATTTCACGGTTAAGTATGAGGTTAGCTATAGTTTTCTCATAGATGCCCCTTATTGTGTTGAGGATGTTCCTTCTTTTCTAGGTTTGCCAGAAGTTTTTATCATGAATGGTTGTTGAATTGTGTGAAGTGGTTTCTCTTTATCTATTGAGATTATCGTATTCTTTTTCTCCGTTCTCTTAAATATTATTTCTTCCAATATTTTTCTGTCCCCTGCTCCCCTTCTGGGGACTCCAGTTACTCAACTGAGACTTCTGTGGGGTTTTTGCCTGTATTTTTTCTCTCTGCTTCATTTTGGATATATTTTATTTCTGTGTCTTCAACTTCACTGTTCTTTTCCTCCACAGTATCTAATCTATTAATTTTTTTTTCCTTTCAGATGTTGTATTTTCTGCTCTAGAAGTTCCATTTGATTCTTTTTTATATTTTCCATTTCTCTCCGTATGTTCATGTTTTCTTTTAAATCCTTGAATATATTATATTAGTTGTTTTACAGTTCTCTGCTGATCCCATCATCTCTGTCAGTAGGCCCAGAATCCTGGGTCTGATTCTATTGACTGACTTTTTTCCTGCTTCACATTTTCCTGCTTCTTACAAATCTAATAATTTCTAATGGATGCTAGACATTGTTAATGTTATGTAGTTGAATATCTGTATTGTCTTCCTTTAAAGAGTATTGGAGTTTGTTTTGGCAGGCTGGTAATGGACTTGCAGATCAGCTGGATCCTTTTGAGGCTTTTTAAAACACATATATTGAAATATAATTCGCATACTATGTTGGATACAATTCAGTGGCTTTTAGTATGTTCACAGACTTGTGCAGCCATTGCCACAACCAATTTTAGAACATTTTGATTACCTCAAAAAGAAACTCCACCCCCCCTTAGCTGGGACCCTCGTCCCAACCCCCCATCACCTCCAACCCTGGGAACCACTAATCTGCTTTCTGTCTCTCTAGATTTGCCTATTCTGGACATCTCATAGAAATAGAATCCTACAACGTGTGGTCCTCAGTGACTGGCTTCTTTAGTGTAATGTTTTCCAGGTCCCTCCATGTGGTGGCATGTATCAGTACTTCATTTCTTTTCATTGCCAAATGACATTTCCTTTTATGGATATACCACATTTTACTTATCCATTCATCAGTTGATGAACATCTGAATGGTTTTCACTTTTGGGCTGTTGTAAATAATGCTGCTATGAACATTTGTGTACAAGTTTCCTGTGGAGATAAGTCTTCGTGTCTCTTGGGTATAGACCTGCGAGTGGAATTTGAGTCATATGGTAACTTATGTTAACTGTTTGAGTAACTGCCAGACTTTTCCACAGCAGCTGCACCATTTTACATTCCCACCAGCAGTGTATGAGGGTTCCAGTGTCTTCCCATCCTCATCAACACTTGTTACTGTCCATCTTTTTGATTATAGCCATTCTAGTGGGTGTAAGGTGGTATATCTTGTGATTTTGATTCACATTTCCCCGATGGCTAATGATGTTGAGTGTCTTTTTTCATGTGCTTCTTGGGGGGCTGGTTTTTAAGCTTTGTTAGGATGTTACTCTTTACTCTGACTGGTTTAGTTGCTTGACTTCTGGAATCTCCATGGAATTCCCTGGTTGTTCAGCAAGTACTTTCCACTCTGACTGCTCAGAACGCAGATGTCTTTCCGTGTAAGTCTTTGCCTGGCCCCATGTGGTTGCACTCCGTGCATGCCCAGCTTCGTATTCAGTTAAAAACTAAAGGAGATCTCTGTGCAGCCTTCTCTTCTTTTTCTGAACACCTCCCTCTTGTCTGGTGCTCTGCCCTGCAAATTCCATTTGGCTCAGTCGCCCAGACTTTGACTTCTGTCTCCACAACTCAGTGAGACTGTTGTGCTCTGCTCAGGGCCGGCTGACTGCGCCACGGTCCAGAAAGTGCCTCCAGAGAGAGGAGGCGATTGTGGGGCTCCGTTTGTTGGCTTCCCTTCTCTTAGGATAACAGTCCTGTCCTGCCTGTTGTCTGTCTGAAAACAGTTGTCTCACATGTTTTTTCCCACTGTCTAGTTTTTTCAGCAGGAGACTAAGTGTGGTCTTATCTACTCCATCATGGCTGATAGAGCTCTTTTGATATTTTAGGCATGCCTCTTTGCAGTGTTTTCTTGTGGTTGCTGTATGGATTTCAGTATCAGTTTCCACTTAGCGCTATCTATTTAGAGTTAATATTGAATTTTTTGCATAAAATATTGTTTCATTTAATCTGCCCCTATCATTGTTGTTTTAAACAAAATGAAGAGTAAGAGGAAAAGATGTTTACAGTTTTTTATGTTAACCTTCATAGGTTCATTCTTCATTTCTCATTCTTTTGTGGATCTGAGTTGCCATCTGGTGTTATGTCCCTTAGTCTGAAGAACTCCTGTCAGCATTGTGTAGTCCAGTTCTCTTGGTAATGAATCATCTCAGTTTTTTGTTCCCCTGCCAGTGTCATTATTTCATCTTCATTTTTCAAGGGCAGTTTTGCTGTTTTACAGAAATTGAGTTAAGGTGTTTTTTTTCTTTAGCACTTTAAGGATGTACTTTGGTTGTCTTTTGGCTTCCCAATGCTTCTGATAAGAAGTCAATATAAGTTTCTATCCTGTCTCCTCTACGTAATGCGCCATTTCTTTCTGGTTCACGATTTTCTCTTGACATTGGATTTCAGTGGTAACTGGGATATGCCTAGGTGTTGTTTTCTTTGTATTTCTCCTACTCCAAGAATGTTGAGTTTCCATGATCTTCTAAGTTGTCTTTTCACCTAATTTGGGAAGTTTCTGGCTGCTGTTTCTTCAAGTACTTTTTCTGTCTGATTCCTTCTCTCCCCCCAGCGGGGACTTCAGTGACGTGTGTGTAGACCACTTGATGGTGTGCCACGTGTCTCTGAGACTTTGTTCATTTTTCAGTCTTTAGTATAATTGTTCTTCAGATTGGATAGTTTCTGTTATCTGTCTTAAATTTGCTAATTCTTCCTTCAGTGAGTGCCAGTCTTATTTTCTTTTCTTTCTTTCTTTTTTTCCTGATTTTTCTCCCTGAATCGCCCCAGTACATAGTTGTATATTTTAGTTGTGAGTCATTCTAGTTGTGGCATGTGGGACGCTGCCTCAGTGTGGCCTGATGAGCGGTGCCATGTCCACGCCCAGAATCCGAACCAGCGAAACCCTGGGCCACCGAAGCGGAGTGCACGAACTTAACCACTCGGGCACAGGGCCGGCCCCTGCCAGTCTTATTTTCAAACCCCATTCCTATTGAATTTTCAGTGATAATGGGAGCTTAAACTTCTTTCTAAAATTTTCTATGGTTGATTTTCTACAAAATGGAAATGAAACTTTTAAACAATAATTTTCATGTGTGTTTTGGAAAGAACTGCTCTTTATAATGAGAACCAAGGCTGCTACTTTTCTTTCAACCACTGTATTTACACAAATACAGACACTAGATACCTTTTTTCCTAACCATTAAATTTTGTACTCAAGAGCCAGTGGTTGCTTCCTCTCCACCTTTCGACAGAGCCTGGTAGAATATTGTTCACGCTCGGTATTGGTGATACTTGTTGTTTCTCCTCTCCTTCTAACCTGATCCGTTAAGTTTCTCTTTCTTCCTCCTCCTCATTGTAGGTATTTTCAAAGGCTTGGCCTAGGGCTCTCTGCTCTTCTGTGTGACATCTCTTCTTTGGAAATCTTAATCCACTTCTTTAACTTCACTTTCACATTCTCCTTCCCGTCCTTAGTCCCTGCCCATTGAAATTCTAGTCTTTCAGAGTCCCACTCAAGTATCACCGTAGAGATGGAGAGTTCCCTATATTAGTCTCCCTCAGGCAGAATTAGTCACTATTTCAGTGCTCCCCCATTAATAACCTTATGACACTTTTCATATTGTATTCTGATTAGTTGTAAGGCGGTGTTTCTCAACTGGGAGTGATTTTTGCCCCCCAGGAGACATTTGACAGTGTCTGGAGACATTTTTGGTCATAGTTGGAGGAAGGGTGGGGTGGTTCTACTGGTGTCTAGTGGGTGGAGGCCAGGGATGCTGCTAAACATCTTACAGTGCACAGAATGGTCCCTACAACAAAGAAACATCCAGCCTAAAATGCCAGTAGTGCCATGGCTGAGAAATGGTGTTGTAGGAGTATCTCAGTTTCTTGCTAGATTTTGAGTTCTTTGAGGTGGAGACTGGATCTTACTCATCTTTGTACCTTACGCACACACATACACACCATTCCCATCGTGCCAGGGCCAAACACTCCTGGTTCATAATAGACCCTTGTGTTAGTTGAATCATGTCCATGATGGTGACTATAGTTAAAGAGCTGAGGGGTTGTACAGACAGAGAGCAGAGAACCCTCCACTCGGCTAAGCACTGGCTTCATCTCAGAACTTCCTAGGGACACTTAGACCAGTGTGTTCTACTTTAGACTTTGTTAAAACCATATCCTCATCTTCCCTTACCCTCAGTCAGGCTTTATTCTCTGTTGTGGAGATTATCATTCAGTCACCTAGCATCAAAATTGGGGGGCTTTTTATTTCTTCATTCATCTCCATTTCCTTTATTTGATTAATGTCTAAACCTTTGGTTCTTCCTTCCGGTTGCTCTTGTATTCCCACAGTCGTTGCGTTAGACCTAACTTACCACCTGAGACTTGGTTTGGCATCTGGCCCCAGTGCCATGAAAGTCAGCTTCTCCGAGCTTTCTCTCCCATCGTCCACAGCTCACACCTGTCAGTGCTGGCCCAACCTTCTCTCCCAGACTTGGAGCCCGCCGTCGCATCGGGTGCTTAAGTCAGCATCAGGCCATGTCATTGACCCATCCATCACTCCTGTCCTCCAGCACGCTGGTCTCCTGTCTGTGTTCCATGAACACGAGGAAGTCTGTTTCCTCTCCGGGCCTTCACCGTTTCCCTAAAGCCCTCCCGTGGTGCAGGGCCAGGCTGGAATCTGCCTCCACCCCATTTTCCTTGCCTGACCCCTGTTCATCTCTTCTTTCTCTGCATCCCTGCAGAGATAACCTTTTAGATATGAGCTGATATATATTCTTTCTGGAGTTGTCAGTGACGTTTTTACATAGACTGTCATAATATTCCTGCCAGCTGGATTTTAAGCTTCAAGAGGAGGCCAGGTTTTCTTATTGCTGATGTCCCCCACAAGTCCCAGGAGAATGCTGACCTAAGGTGTAATTTTTTTGTTTTGTTTTGGTTTTTTGGTGAGGAAGATTGACCCTGAGCTAACATCTGTGCCAGTCTTCCTCCATTTTGTATGTAGGACGTTGCCACAGCATGGCTTGATGAGTGGTGTGTAGGTCTGTGCCCGGGATCTGAACCCATGAACTCTCATGTCTCTCATGTTCTCCTCACAGAAGCTGAATTTGGAGGGCCTTTTGATGCAGTTGTTGAGGAAGGGAGAGATGGTTAGAGAGGTTAGGTAATTTGGACAAGAATAGCAGCTGAGAAGAGGCAAGGCTGGTGTTGAGATTTGAAACAAAGCTGAGCGGCTCCCAAATGGCTTTGTGTTACCGCACACTGTTGGCCCTTCCAGGCGGTTGACCCTTTCTGCTCTGTGACTGTTGGCCCTTCCAGGCGCTTGACCCTTTCTGCTCTGAGAGGACTGCTTGCTATGGTCCAGCACAAACTGACTAACGACTGAATTTTAGCACATGATTTAACCAGTGGCCCTTTTTTAAATTCAAGATGCTAAGAATCTTCTGTATCCTCAAAACCAAGGAAAGAGTATATATGTCTGTGTGTATGTTTTAAAATTTAAGTGTATCAGAAATTTTCAAATTAAATTAATGAAAATATAGTATTATACTGGTTTATTATATTTCAAGTTTATAAAAACATTTATCTTCAAAGAAATGTAGAGCATTTTATATTTCTCACATATATTTCCAATATTCTGAATTATCTTGACTGTTTCCATCTGCTGAATTATGGGACTCAGCAGCAGTTATGAAAGAATTTCTTTTTTTCTTATTGTATGTGTTAATATTTGTAAAAAAGAATTTTTCTTATTTTCAGGTACAGATTTATGAATTAGAGGAACATAAGATTGAAACATGGAGGGGTAAGCACTATTGGGTGTTAAAAATCTTTTAATATCAGGGGGAAAAGTTCTACTTAGTTTATAAAATATGTTTTAATTTCACAGATCCTTTTCTTTCTGGTTAATAATAAATACGTTCATTAAAGCATTTCTTTCTTTCTCTCTTACTTTTGATAGTATGCCATACCACTATAAACATTATCCATTCTGTCTAACAGACATTTATAGACAGCCTAGAACAGTTCTGTCTGCAAAGCCTGGGGAGATAAAGATGAGTAGGCTGACCAGTGCCCCAGTCTCCACCCCGCAGTGAAGCCACGTTCACTACTAAGGATTCCCCCCAAACTCGCCTTTGGATGAGAAATGCACCAGAGGAGTGCCTAAGATTAGCAAAAGCAAGGATCTGTTCTTATTGAAATTTAATAATTATTTCTTTACAAATTATGGAGAAACATAAAACAAGTGAACCTTAAAGTAGATGATTTGGATCAAATAACATGAAAATGACTTCAAGATTGCTTTCTTTTGTTTGTAACATTTAAGTTCATCCTTTATCATCACAATACCCTTTTCTGAAATGGAGCCATTTTTTAAATTCTAATTTTACGATTGTGAAATTGTTCTGTCCTAGTGAGACCTGTCACGCTGGCGTGGTGGAGAGGGGGCAGAGGGCATGCCAGTAGGGATATCAGGGGTCCAAGCCTGGACGGGATCCCTGAGGAGCTCAGTCTGAGACTGAGGGGAGCTCAGGGAAGAGCCTGGATAGAAATGGAGGGACCATTTGAAGGAAAATTTTACTTTAAAATTGAAGGTTAGCTTTGTACTTCCCGTAATCTGCTTGGTATGATAAGCAGCCTTTGTGACTGGCTGCACCATCTGGACATCTGCTGGAATTCTCTAAGGGGGTGGGGGCTCTTTTCCTTCCGTGTGATTTGGAAGTTTTATTGAGTGATGTGTTTGATTTATGACGGCTTTATCAAGTCAAACAAAGTCAGTCAACATGGGGTCCATATTTTAGCACTGCCTATTGTGAAGTGAATATATAACTTAACACCAAGACAGGTACTTCTTATCACATTCTGCTGTATGAGTAATGTTAGACCAAAATTAAGTATATTTACATTTTGAGGTTACATGGTATTCAGTAGTAATAATAACAATGTCAAGATATTCTTGAATTCCTTCTGTATAGAAACTTCAGCAAAGCCAAGTAATTACAGATAATCTTTAATAAGATAATTTCCACGTAGTAGAAAGATGCCCAAGATGCAGACTTTGAGCATTAGTTTGGTAAAATAGAACTTAAGAACATTTAAAGAACAAAGTTTATTATAACTTTTATTTTATCTTTTAACTTAGGAAAACTAGTTTTGAAGGATTTCATAAATGCTTCATCTCTTGAGGGCGATAGTAACTTGGCAGCATTCTAGTGACCTCTGCTGCTATTGCTCTTTTATCAGACTTTTTGACTTCTCTTCTGATTTTTACAACATCTGTTGTAGTACTGTTTTTAAATATCTAATTTTTCCACAAAGGCAACATCCTGAAAACAGTTTGGAAGTTGTTTAAAATAGCCATAACTATAATTGACACAACAGTTTTCAGTAAATTAAATATATTTGATTTGGGTTTTTAATCCTTCTAATTATTATCTGTAAATTGAAGTGTATTTTAATTTATGTAATAATTGTGAACAGCAAATGCGTTACTAATTGCATATTTTCTTTCTATAAATACAGAGCTTTATTTACAAGAAACATTTAAGCCTTTAGTGAATATATCTCCAGATGCAAGGTAAACTTGTAAGATTTTTCTCCTTTGAAAACATTCATTCATTCAGATTCATCTGTTTTGTTACCATGATTGATTGATAGATATTTTTTATCTAGATAGGGGCCAGCCTCCTTAATTCCAAATACTAGATTCAGTCAATTTAAGACAATAGAAATCACAGCCATTGCTGGTCCAAAGGATTGGTGGTGGACTAGGAAGATGGTCATACTAAGCAGTTTTAAAGTCCAGATTACCTGCCACAGAAACCACCTGGGGAGCTTGTTAAAGTTGCAGGTTCCTGGGCTCCACCCCCAACCTATTAAATCAGTCCTTGGAGGGTAGAGCCCAGGACTGTGCGTTGAAACAACTCCCCAGTGGTTCTGACATACCCTGAAGTTGAAAAGTCAGTCTTTATTGGACATGTGTCCAGAGGTGGTCAGAAGAGTGGGCTCTCCTCTCAGTAGTCTTCTAGCGCGTCTGTTTTGATCCAGGCCTTCTGGGATGGTTCTGATACATTTCCACATTAATGAGAAAGCATTCTTAGAACTCTAGAGCACTAGCAAGAAAAAGTGGAGTATCGATTTACATTATTTCATTTCCAAGTCCTAACAAACAGATACCCCCACCATGCCTCCTTGCTGGTGGTCACAGCAGAGGCCAGAGGTGGGCTAGCCAAGCAAGGAAGCAGCCAGCAGGCTGCATCAAGTCAGAGTGGCCCATCCAGGGGGCTACGCCACCGCTCCCCTCTTCTGCTCATGTTGTCATCTGTTAGCTTTCCTAGGGGTTAGCTTCTGTCATTCCTCAAATAAAAGCATTAAACTATTAAAGCACTATTAAAAAAACTCTCCTAGAGATTTGTAGCTCACACTTATATTTGAGATTTATTAACAAAGATTGTGAAAAGTTAAAAAATTTGCTGAGATCTCCAATTTAAAACTTTTCCAAAACGCTGTTTCAAGTCAATCAACCTTTGTTATTGTGATATAAAACACTGAAAATTCTTTTAAAGCAGGGGTGGTCCAAAGTTTTCTAATTTTTCCTTAAAGCCTCCTAACAACTTTAATGGCTTTTCCCACAGCCTCTTCGATGCTGTATACTCGTTGATCAAAAATAAAATCCACAGATTGCCAGTTATTGACCCTATCAGTGGGAATGCACTTTATATACTTACCCACAAAAGAATCCTCAAGTTCCTCCAGCTTTTTGTAAGTAGTTTTTAGTGTTTCTAAAGACATAGTTGCATCTACTTTAACTAATTTACTTCAAGTAAATTGGCTCCTCTTACCTCAGTAGAAGAAACTGTTAATTTTGAGGTCTCCATTTCTAAACTTCAGTTTCTCAACCTGCTGCTGTTTGAATTGTACTTTCTCAAAGTTGATTCCAACTGAAAAGCAGTCACCTTTCAGTGCAAGTATCAAAATAGTAAAAACACTTGGAATTCTCTATGTAAATTAGAATATTTTATCACCTAAAATATGTGCAGAAATAAAGCAATTTGCAAGTCAGTCTGATTAAGAAACTACTACAGAAGATGAATTGAGCCAATATAGATAGCAAATTACCATATCATGCTTTTAGAAACATAGATTCGAAAAATACTGTCCCCAGGATTATCTTCTTATTAACTGCAGCAGTGATAGAAAACCCAAAGCAAATAAAATTTTGGCTAGAGACTATACCATGTTGGTCCAAATTAGGCTATATTTATCTGTAGGTTTTCTCAGCTGCATTTGGAATGAGATGGCTTCATAATCATCCAAAACGTGGAACCTCTTGGTCAGCAGTAGTGAGGCTCAGAAGGACCAGAGTGTTTACAGAGATCTTTAATTGTTTCCTTTTAATTACATGCACTGAATTTGAGGTTATAAGTAATTGGCCAACTAGAACCAGTAGGAGGCCTCATTCATGGTTCAGAAGAGATCATTTGAAGTTTTTTTTTTAAGAATATAATAGACATTAAAAACCTACATCAAATTAGCTTTCCGCTTTCCTTCTCCACAGCTTCAAATAAGGAGGTAAACTAGCGTGCAGCGTGATGCCGAGGAGCCAGGGCGGCTGCTCCCGGGACGCGGCCTCACTCTGCTGGACAGAAGCACAGAGGGTTTAGTGATGGGGAAGAATACCTTGTCCATCAGACCAGTCCTATATTTTAATAGTTTACATGTGAAAATAACACTCTTCATGTTTAAATAAATGCTAAGCAAAAGGTAGGAAGGAGAAGTACAATTTTCAAAAAAGCATGAAGTTTGGTAAAGAGACAATCCAGGGAAGGAGAATTAGCGATGGACGGGTATTGTTGTTCGGACTTCGTGTCTCTCGTGCACAAGCTCTGGGTCGGCTTTTGCTGCGCATGCAGTTGCCTCAGTACGAGGCCTAGTAGGACCCAGGGCGGGGCTGTGTATTCAGGGCGCCCGTGTGCCAGGCTCTAAGCCCATTTACCCCTTAGAGTAATAATTTTGAAATCACGTTAATCATGAGAGCGAAATACCGTTTAGCGTTTACGCTGTGTCCAGCACTGTCCTAAGCACTTCACACGATAAGCTAACCCTCGCCACCACCCTCTCAGGTAGGTACTTTGATGGATCCCGTTTATCAGTGAAGAGACTAGGCGAGGTTGAGTAACTTTGTCACTGCTGGTAGTGGTGGAGCAGCATCTGACCCAGCCAGCCGCCCCCTCAGCCTCCGCGGGGTCCCCCTGCCCGGCCCTCTCGGGCAGTGTTTAGCTCCTCTGTGCAGAGGCACCTGGCTCGGAGGGCGAAGCGTGCACAGTCCCCCAGGTGGTACGCGGTGGAGTTCCAGCCCATTTCCACGGCCACTGCCGCAGGAGGAGTGACAGTTTGTCGGGCCTTTGGCATCTTTCTCTTCTATAGAAAGTAGGGGAGGTTGCTTCTGCCAGTACTGCCTTCTATTTGGGCCAATATGGTAATTAGAGTCATGCTATTGGAATAGTCAGCCAGAGGTTTTCAGATAAAAAACACAGAATTTTAAATAAATTTCAGAACCTGATTTTTACTGAATTGAGATCGTTTTCTGAGAACAGTGGCGTTGCCCTGGAGACAGGGGACAGTTAGCCTGAGCGTGCAGTGTGGAACGGGTTGTCCTGCATCGACATGGGCTAGGTGACCTAATAGGTCTTTCTTTTTTTTCTCTAAATTTCTAGGATTCTCATGATTTGAATATTGATGAACTCTTTGACTTGAACATTTTGTTTCTTCTAATTGTTCATCTTTTCCTGATAATTATAAGGTACACCAGGAGGATGGAATCAACTATACCCTTTATAAAAGGTGGATTTTTGAAACCATAGACCTTATTGTGTTTTAGTCAAACGTGATCCTAGACTTCTCTCTTCTGACTTCTCCCTCCTCCTCTAAAACAGCCCGTGAAAAGAAAAGTTCACTTGTAAAGTTTCTTTTAATTCTATTCAGTTGGCTTATTCTTTGTTCCTAGTAGACAAAAATTGGAGTCCTCCAGTGGAGAATTCAGGGTATGGAGGTGGGATGGGTGGGGACTAGCTTAGCCGCTCAGAGGCTTTGGGTTTGGAAATATGTGGGTTCTTAATAAATATTACTTAATGATGACAGCAGGCCCAGGAATTTAACGTGAATAATTAAGAATAAAGGATTCTTGGTGGCTTGTGGGTCTTAATTTCCAAACAGACCTGTTGTTCCCTTCTTCTGTCCACTTTTTCAGTAGGTGGAGAGAAGGGGAAATGTTAGCAATGTTAGTGCTTTGCAGTATTTTACTAAGTGGTTAAATATAAGCGTTGACATATAAACTGATCTGAACAAGAGACACAATTCTTCTGTGTAACATTTCCATCTTAGTTCAGACGTCCAGGTAGATCGTTAGAAAAGACTAGTTTGTTGCACATAGTTTTTCATTCAAGTGTGGACATGTGAACATTGAAAAGGTCCCTTCTGGCTCTAGAGCATCTGTGTTTATCTTGCGGTTTAGATGTCTGATATGCCAAAGCCCGCCTTCATGAAGCAGAACCTGGATGTACTTGGAATCGGGACCTACCACAACATCGCCTTCATACACCCGGACACGCCCATCATTAAGGCCCTGAATGTCTTTGTGGAAAGACGGGTGTCGGCCTTGCCTGTAGTGGACGAGTCAGGTCTGTGTGTTTGGCCATCCCAGTTGAACAGAAACGACTGTTTGTCTCATTAGAGTAAAATTATTGTTAAATGACTCAGCCTATCAGATAATGGAGGAAATGAAAATTTAGATATGGTGAATAAATTCAGCACCAGGGAGCACTCAGGATAATAAGAATTTTAAACTGGCTTATTTTCACATTTTCCTTTAAGATACTGTTTCGTTTCCATTTAAAAATAGACAAGTTAATTTTATTTAGCAATATTCAATTCCTAGTAATTATCTAGTTAAGATTGATTTTATTGTTGTTTTTTGTTTCTAAGACATTTTTCTAACATATATTTTCATTTTTAGGAAAAGTTGTAGATATTTATTCCAAATTTGATGTAATTGTAAGTATTTTTAATTTTGTTAAACCTTATCATCTAGAATGTGCTTAAAAACATTAATTTTTTTTGTTTTTTCCTAATGTAATAGTTCCTAGCTTTTTTGAGGATGAGGATCTCATCAGAGAATTCCATAGACTCCTCATAGATTTAATATTCATCAGTTTGGCAATGAATAATATTTGGTAGCGTTTTATAATTCTTTGTCCTTTCAGTACATGTGTAGTTTATCATCACTACAGCATGTATTCTATTGTAAATGATCATATTTCTATGTGGGAGGCATTATTCCTTCCGCCAACATTCATGTACTTAGTGGACACATGAGTTTCTGGACCCTTGTCGTCCACATGCCGTTGTTTGCAAATGGGAACAGCTGTTCTAAAGAAGACGGCAAATGTGTTCAATAGAGTTATGTGAAGTCCTCTGTTTTAGGCCCTGGTTTAAATCTACTTGGTAGATTTTGGTGCTACAGCTTTCCACTTGATGCCCTTTTTTCTCATTCATTTTAAAGGCACTTCCTTAGAGTTTTACATTATTTTTAAGAAAAGGAACTGCAACTTTAATAGCCCCAAATGTGCACACCATTTTCTGCCATATTATTGACCCCAGCATTAAATATTCTTTTGCGGCTGTCTCAGACCCTTTTGTTTCATCTTATTCTGTTTAACATAATAGACACCAAAAAATCTGCCTATTGGAATTTGATTGAGTGGGACCCTCTCAGGTTAATCAGCGCCCTGAGAAGCCGTTTGGATCTTTGGGGCTTATATGGCCTGTTCTTCGTCCATAATTGGTTGATTCTGATGGGTCCCCCAGAAACGTGGGGAGAGACCATTCATTCAGGTTCCCTAGCTCTGTGGCACTTCTCACCCTTTACAAATGTTAGGCCACCTCTTCCACGATTGTTCACTCAGGGTATAGAGCCTCAGAGGGTGAGAGTGGGGGAATCTTCAGTGGGACGCACAGTCAAAATTTAACAAGGGTGCTTCATAATTAAGGTACGCTTTGCGAGCTTTAATTATTATTATTAAGATGATGAAATAACAGTACTAATGGCATGTTGCAAGCTGGTATGGTGTTACTAAGTTAAGATAAACATGAACGTTTTTAAAAATCAAGTTGCTTTAAACTTACTAATTTTGGTCATTAATGTGAATTGACATGAAAGCATATAATTCGTTCTGTTACCTTATTACAGAACCTTGCTGCTGAAAAAACGTACAATAACTTAGATATCACAGTGACCCAGGCCCTTCAGCACCGCTCACAGTATTTCGAAGGTGTTGTGAAGTGCAGTAAGCTGGAAGTGCTGGAGACCATTGTGGATAGAATAGTAAGAGCTGAGGTGAGATGGCTGTCCCCTCCTCCTGCCCTCCTTCCCTTTCCCGCCGAAGCCGCACTGCAACAGGCACTAACCAGTCAGTAGTGCCTCGGGAATTCTGAATCACGGGAATGGCCCATGAAGCAGCCTTCAACTTCAGTCAGATGGCACGGTTCCCTTATTCCAGAACCTAGCACGTGACTTGGCGCCTAGTAGGTCATCTGTAATAAATGTTCACTGAACTGAATTGATTAAGTCCTGATACATAGTTGAATCAAATAAACTGGTAAGATACTTCCATGGTTTAAAAAACCTATACTTGAGAAAACGGAAGTCCCAGGAGCTTTAAGGCCATTAGGGTATTTACAAATTTAAAGTTAAAAATGTACAATTATCTGGTTTTAACAAAGTGAATGATAAATCAATAAAATGTGTTCTGATCTCTTTTTTAAATTAATTTTCTCTCTTCCCACCAGTCTCTCTCCCTCTTTCCTGATTTGGATAAATAGAGGATGGTCGAGTAATTTTGTCCCTTGACCCTCAGCACTCATGTGCCTTGCACTTTACTGCCCGTAGCGTTTTCAAGTCTACTCTGCATAACACTCTAAATAAAAGATAAGCAGCATCGGGGCCGGCCCCGTGGCCGAGCGGTTAAGTTCGCGCGCTCCGCTGCAGGCGGCCCAGTGTTTCGTTGGTTCGAATCCTGGGTGCGGACATGGCACTGCTCATCAAACCACGCTGAGGCAGCGTCCCACATGCCACAACTAGAAGGACTGACAGCGAAGAATATACAACTATGTACCAGGGGGCTTTGGGGAGAAAAAGGAAAAAATAAAATCTTTAAAAAAGAAAAAAAAAAAGATAAGCAGCATCATTTTATAGTGTATCCAATTCGGTATGTCCATCCCCCAAATTGTTTCTCCCCTTTCCTGTTAGAGGGGATAGGAATGTTACCCTGTTTCATTCTGGGACTGAAGGATGCAACCGTGTTCATTCTGGAGCAACACCTAATTAGGCAAAATTAATTCATAATGATAAGTCATTTTGATGTTTTTTATTATAAATGCAAGAATCCAGTCCCAGAAGAAAAGTACTTGATAATTTTTTAGGCTAATAACGGGCAACCGTGACTGTCTGAAAGTGACACACGAAGGTGGTGTGTTGCATCAGAGCGAGTGCTCCCTTTCAGGAGCGGTCGCTAGAAGTCACCTAGCCCTGCTTTCCTCGCTGTGTGTTCCCCCTGCTGCAGCCTCGCTGAGGACACTCCCCCGGCTTCAGCTGTCATGGCTCTTAACATGTCTCTTAGAATCTCAATATGAACTCTTTTCTTTTTCTACTTAAATTTAACATCTCATCGCTGCTTGTTTTCCAAACAGTTTTTAATTGCCTTAGGAATATGTCTTAACTTTTTATTAATGTCCTTAGAATTGTGTGCTTTGTGAAGATCATAAGCAGACATAGGTAAGGCATCCCTCCCTAGTTATTAATAAGAACAGTGGACATCTGTATGATGGAATCCTTTATTTTTTTATTTTATTGAGGTCATAATAGTTTATAACATTGTGAAATTTCAGTTGTACATTATTATTTGTTAGTCATCATATAAATGTGCTCCTTTACCCCTTATGCCCACCCCGAAAGCCCCTTCTCCTCTGGTAACCACTAATCTGTTCTCTTTATCCATGTGTTAGTTTATCTTCCACATGAGTGAAATCATACGGTGTTTGTCTTTCTCTGACTTATTTCACGTAACATAATTCCCTCAAGGTCCATCCATGTTGTTGTGAATGGGATGGTTTTGCCATTTTTTATGGCTGAGTAGTATTCCATTGTATATATACAACACATCTTCTTTATCCATTCATCAGTCAGTGGGCACTTGGGTTGCTCCCGTGTGTTGGCTATCGTGAATAGTGCTGCAGTGAACAGAAGGATGCATAAGTCTCTTTGAATTGTTGATTTCAAGTTCTTTGGATAAATACCCACTGGTGGGATAGCTGAGTCGTATGGTGTTTCTGTTTTTAATTTTTTGAGAAATCTCCATACTGTTTTCCATAGTAGCTGTACAGTTTGCATTCCCACCAGCAGTGTATGAGGGTTCCCTTTTCTCCACATCCTCTCCAACATTTGTTATTTTTTGTCTTGGTGATTACAGCTGTTCTAATGGGGGTAAGAGGATAACTCATTATAGTTTTGATTTGCTTTTCCCTGATGATCAATGATGTTGATCAGTGATGTTGATCAGTGATCTTTTCATGTGCCTGTTGGCCATCTGTATATCTTCTTTGGAAAAATGTCTATTCATATTCTCTGCCCATTTTTTAGTTGGATTGTTTGTTTTTTTGTTGTTGAGTTCTTCATATATTTTAGAGATTAACCCCTTGTCAGAGATAGGATTTGCAAATGTTTTCTCGCACTTGTTTGGCTGTCTGTTCGTTTTGTCCCAGGTTTCCTTTGCCTTGCTGAAGCTCTTTAGTCTGATGAGGTCCCATTTGTTTATTTTTTCTTCTGTTTCGCTTGCCCGAGTAGACATGGTATTTGAAAAGATCCTTCTAAGACCAATGTCAAAGAATATATTGGCTATATTTTCTTCTAGGAGTTTTATGGTTTCACATCTTACCTTAAAGTCTTTAATCCATTTTGAGGTAATTTTTGTGTATGGCAAAAGATAATGGTCTATTTTCGTTCTTTTGCATGTGGTTGTCCAGCTTTTCCAACACCACTTATTGAAGAGACTTTCCTTTCTCCACTGTATGTTCTTAGTTCCTTTGTTGAAGATTAGCTGTCTGTAGATGTGTGGTTTTACTTCTGGGCTTTCAGTTCTGTTCCATTGATCTGTGTGTCGTTTTGTACCAGTACCATGCTGTTTTGATTACGATAGCTTTATAGTATATTTTGAAGTCAGGGATTGTGATGCCTCCAGCTTTGTTCTCTTTTCTCAGGATTGCTTTAGCTATTCGGGGTCTTTTGTTGCCCCATATGAATTTTAGGATTCTTTGTCCTATTTCTGTGAAGAATGTCATTGGGATTCTGCTTGGGATTGCATTGAATCTGTAAATTGCCTTAGGTAGTATGGACAATTTAACTATATTTATTCTTGCAGTCCATGTGCTTGGAATATCTTTCCATTTCTTTATGTCATTGATTTCTTTCAATAATGTCTTATAGTTTTCATTGTATAGCTCTTTCACCTCCTTGGTTAATTTTTTTTTTCTTTTTTTTTGTTGAGGAATGTCCTAAGCTAACATCCTGTTACCAATCTTCCTCTTCTTGCTTGAGGAAGATTGTTGCTAATCTACGACAGTCTTCTCTATTTTGTATATGGACACTGCCACAGCATGGTTTGATGAGCAGTGCATAGGTCCACGCCTGGGATCTGAACCTGCGAACCCTGGGCAGCCAAAGTGGAGCACACGAACTTAACCACTATGCCACCAAGGCCTGCCCCTCACCTTTGTTAAATTTATTCCTAGACATTTTATTCTTTTTGTTGCAATTTTAAATGGGATTGTACTCTTGAGTTCTCTTTCTGTTAGTTATTAAAGTATAGAAATGCAACTCATTTTTGTAAGTTGATTTTGTACCCTGCAACTTTGCTGTAGTTGTTAATTGTTTCTAATAGTTTTCTGACAGATTCTTTAGGGTTTTCTGTATATAAAATCATGTTGTCTGCAAACAGCAAGAGTTTCACTTCTTCGCTGCCAGTTTGGATACCCTTTATTTCTTTTTCTTGCCTAGTTGCTCTGGCGAAAACTTCTAGTACTGTGTTGAATAAGAATGGCAAGATCAGGCACCTTTGTCTTGTTCCTGTTCTCAGAGGGATGGCTATCAGTTTTTCCCCATTGAGTATGATGTTGGCTGTTTGTATAATAAAGGCCATCATCATATATGGCCTTTATTATATTGAGGTACTTTCCTTCTATACCCATTTTATTGAGCGTTTTTGTCATAAGTGGATGTTGGATCTTGTCAGACGCTTTCTCTGAGTCTATTGAGATGATCATGTGGTTTTTATTCCTCATTTTGTTAATGTGGTGTATCACATTGATTAGTTTGTGGATGTTGAACCATGCTTATGTCCCTGGTATAAACCCTACTTATCATGCTGTATGATCTTTTTTTTTTTTTTTTTAAAGATTGACACCTGAGCTAACAACTGTTGTCAGTCGTCTTTTTTTTTTTTTTTTGGCTTTTTCTCCCAAATCCCCCCAGTACATAGTTGTTTGTTTTAGTGGTGGGTCCTCCTAGTCGTGGCATGTGGGACGCCACCTCAGCATGGCCTGATGAGCAGTGCCATGTCCGCACCCAGGATCCGAACCAGCAAAACCCTGTGCCACCAAAGTGGAGCATGCAAACTTAACCCCTTGCCACAGGGCCGGCCCCTGTGTGATCTTTTTAATGTATTGCTGTATTCAGTTTGTCAATATTTGATTGAGGATTTTTGCATCTATGTTCATCAGCGATGTTGGCTTGTAATTTTTCTTCTTTCAGTTGTCCTTGTCTGGCTTTGGGATCAGGGTGATGTTGGCCCCGTGAAATGTGTTAGGAAGCACTCGTCGTCTTCAGTCTTTTGGAATAGTTTGAGAAGGATGGGTATTAAATCTTCTTTGGATGTTTGGTAGAATTCTCCAGAGAATCCTGGACTTTTATTTTTTTGGAGGTTTTTGATTACTGTTTCAATGTCTTTACTTGTGATTGGTCTATTCAGATTCTCTGTTTTGTCTTGATTCAGTTTTGGGAGGTTGTATGAGTCTCAGAGTTTATCCATTTCTTCTAGATTGTCCAGTTTGTTGCCATATAGTTTTTCATACTATTCTCTTATAATCCCTTGTATTTCTGTGGTATCTGTTGTAATTTCTCCTCTTTTATTTATTTCTTTTATTTGAGCCCACTCTCTTTTTTTCTTAGTGAGTCTGACTAAGAGTTTATCAATTTTGTTTATCTTCTCAAAGAACCTGTTAGTTTCATTGATCCTTTCTACTGGTATTTTTTGTTTCAATTTAAATTATTTCTGCTCTAATTTT